GGGGGAAACCAACAGAATTTAGAATCTGTAACACAGGAAATGTTGTGGTTTTACTGGGAAAAATGTCCTGAAAAGACAGAAACAATGTCTAATGAGTGAATCCTGATGATTCAAAGAAACGGAGATTCTGGGTTCATCCAATGAATCCATCCAAATAATTACCTGCAAAAAAGTGCAGTCGAGGTGAACGGCTGCGATAAGTTTTTTAACGCACCAAACATTTGCACATTTACACATCAGGTGTGACAAAAAGGCCTTAACAAGTATTTCCTCCCTGTGGAGGAAGGCAGGCTGTACTGACTCTTAATGTGTAAGCTAGTTTACTAGCTTACACATGTATTGTTTCATGGTGCTTATGCATCCTTTGCACTATAACAGCAATATAATCATTTCGTTGTTACCTGATGGGTAACGTGAAGTCACAAAGTCAGCGCAGGATTGTTTGACTGGCTAAAACATCACATGATCGGTTTTGCTGTGCGACTTCTTCACGTTTTGCTTTCTGCAGATTTACTGTCAGAATCTGTGTCTGCTGGCAAAACTCTTCCTGGACCACAAGACTCTGTATTATGACGTGGAACCGTTCCTGTTCTACGTCATGACTGAAGCTGACAACACAGGCTGCCACCTCGTCGGATACTTCTCCAAGGTAACTCTGTGAGAGTATTTTAGCGTTAACAGAATTTGCAGAGAATGACTACAACAAATCACAAATGTCTTTACTAAGAAGTGCGAACTTAAAACCGTGTTTCTGATGAAGTTGCACACAGTTTGTAATGTCAGCTGCTCGGTGATGTTGGGCCAAAGGAATCAGATCAGATGATGCATTTTCATTCTGCTACAGCCTCCATAGTCCTGCTACGAGCTGTGATTCAGCCTGTTACCTTCATGCGTTCATTCTCCTCCCACAGGAGAAAAACTCCTTCCTGAACTACAACGTCTCCTGCATCCTCACCATGCCGCAGTACATGAGGCAGGGTTACGGCAAGATGCTCATAGACTTCAGTGAGTACAAATTTTTCCCTCTTAAATGTAAACGAGCTCACACACCGGCCGGAGATTCTGCACAGCGCTGCACAGTAACAGCAGATGTAGGAGCTCGAGGTCGCTCCAAAGTGTAGCCATCCAAAGCACTGCTCTCTCGCTCTGTCCTGCCAGGTTACCTGTTGTCCAAAGTAGAAGAGAAGGTGGGCTCACCTGAGCGGCCCCTGTCGGACCTGGGACTAATCAGCTACCGAAGTTACTGGAAGGAGGTGCTGCTGCGCTACCTGAACAACTTTCAGGGCAAGGAGATTTCCATCAAAGGTCAGAAAGTTCAAAATGCTGCATGGAGAAAGACAAATATCTGACTTCTAATCTGTTTGATTATGGCTGCTGGTCAAATTGTAGATGAGAAGAAAAGCTTATAAAATACAGTGTAAGACAAGAACAGCTCCTGAAACTGTGCATATGTGTGTATATGTGTGTATATGTGTGTATATGTGTGTATATGTGTGTATATGTGTATCCACGCATTCAAGCGTGGCCACTTTTGTGAATGGGTCAGAGAGCGCTGCAGCCCCTGTGGTTTTCTGCCGAGGAAGCGGTGACTCAGAGGAAGCGAGGAACGCCCTGCTCCCATGGTGCATCGCGTTTGTTTGTGCCGCTCGTTTCTGCTTCTGTGATTAAAAACAAACAGTGCAGCCACACACTCACATCTTCGTAAGGCATTAAGGCACAGCAGGGCTTTAAGTGACACCGGCCTCAAACACACGACACACTCATTTTCCTTGTTTTCATGTTGTCGTCCAGCTCACATGCTGCTTGTGTTTCCTTCTTTATAGAACATTTGGAGGATTTTGGTTAGTCACACCTCAGTTTACTAGCTTACACTTGTATTGTTTCATGGTGCTTATGCATCCTTTGCACTATAACAGCACTATAATCATCACGTTATTCTAAAGTTTTAAATAATTTCACTTCAATATCCAATATTGTGTTTCGTTGTCACCGCTCTGCTGTAACAGGCTGGTGGGCTTTTATATTCACAGACACCCGAGTTTGTGAATGCAGTAACTCCAGAACGATGTTCGATAAAATCTCAGACGGGTTTGAATCTCAGTGACCTCATCCTCAAGGTCAGGGGTCAGAGGTCAAGTTTTTATGAAAATGTTATCAATGCAAAAAGTTGAGAAGGACGTCACGTGGGATCTTGAAAATGCTACCACAGGTGTTTGTAATTGGAGGTTGGAGGCACTGACACGGCAGTATGTTATAGGAGTTACTTTATAAATGACGACTTCACTGCGAGCGTCCTTCTGTTTGACACGCGGAATAAAGACGACTGTGACTAAACAGTGAATCAGTGATAACACGCTGTTCCTTCACTCCTGAGCATCTTTTGTCCTCTTTTATTTGTACTTTTTCTTTTGAACTCAGAATGTCTTCTTGTTATTTTGAATCTAAATGTTTGCAGCTCACACAGATGACAGTGACTCTCCTCAGTCACCCCACTCTGCTCTGTGTGTCCCTGTGCCACAGACAGCAAAGTTACACCTGAGCTTTCTGAAGACTTGAAGGGAATATTTTAATGACAAAAACTTTTAAATATGAATTTTTTAAAGATGTTTTTTATGGGTGTAATGAATGCAGGGAAATTATTTGAAAGCTGCTGAGGATTCATCCTTCTAAGTTTCCTCTCACTTTTATGTTCACAGAGATCAGCCAGGAAACTGCAGTGAACCCGGTGGATATAGTCAGCACGCTGCAGTCCCTCCAGATGCTTAAATATTGGAAGGGGAAGCACCTGGTTTTAAAGAGACAGGTATGAAACAGCCATGCTGTTGTCTCTGTTGAGTAGAGTAGCCACTCTCTCCCAGTCAACAGCTGGTTGTTGTTTATGATTCTAATAACCAGGGTTCCTTTGCGGGTTGTTTTCTTCTTCCTTTAAAGGACCTTATTGATGACTGGAAGGCCAAGGAGACCAAACGTGGTAACAGCAAGACCATTGACCCCACAGCCTTAAAATGGACCCCACCCAAAGGGACGTAGAGGAGCTACTAATACACACACTCCAAAAACACACAGTCACGCACAGATCCTCCTCTGTACACGGGCATGCTCACAGACGCTGAGTCTAAACCCTCTCTCTCTATTGTACGAAACGCTTTCAGCAGCTACAGCGCAGTCACAGACACGGACAGTTGCTACTCTGGGTTCAAGTAACCACAACATTAGTCCACAGGTAGGATTCCTGTTAAAAGAATTGTTTGGACATTTCCCTAAAATTTGAATTAGAAAAATAAGGAAAATCCATATGAGTCTGGGAATGACTTCTCACACACTTAACTGTGTGTTAGTAAAAACCCTGAGTTGCCAGGTGTTTAATAGCAAGCGATCAGGAACGACGTCCTTCTGAAAGGAAAGCTACATAAATAAAATATGTAAAGGAAGAGGGCTCATGAAAAGCAAGAGCGGGAAAACTACATTTAGATGTATCTCGAGCAATAAGCAGAGAAAGATTACAGAACAGGTCCTAACATACAACATCCAATACAGTACTCAACACATTTATAAAAAGGAAATATAAATTTGCTTTATTTGTGGCGGGATGCTGACAAATTAAATAATTAATTAATAATTAATGATTCAAATCTTGTTTTATTACTCTTTTGATAGGGGTAGACATTTTTATGACAAAGCAACACCAGGGTTGTCGCTGTCTTTTCATTTTTTGCGAATTACATGCTCTATGCTAAAGCTAGCAACAACAGCTGCTTAAAGTTAGCTGGTTTGTTTGGGCCAAAAGTGGGCATTTAAAAAATAATATGGTGAAAAATAGGAATGATATTCAGTCACTATTTTAAATATTTATTTCCCTGTTCAGGATGTAGAACAACCCTTATCTCATGGCAGCCAAAATAGCTACACTCCCCTGTATAGCATTTTATAAGCTAGCAAAAACCACTACTAAAGTTAGCTGGTTAAGACTTTCCTGAAAATGGGCATTTTGGGAAAAATGGCAAAAATAATACAGATATTCAATAAAACTGATGAATATTTCTTGACTAAACAGTATTTTATAAGCTAACTAGCTAGCTATAAACTATTGATGTTGAGTTTAGCTAATTAGCTTTTGATTAGCTTTTGCTATAAATTCTTTTTTAAAAGTGGGGGATAACATGAGAATGTTATTCAATACAATATTGAATGTTGGATTGTTCTGATGAAATGGGCTTTGAGTTTTATGTGATTCTTTAACATTTTCACAAATGCAGTTATACAATAGAACAGACAGGTTTTATTATACACCGACCACAGCCACTATTCATCTTTAGCTTCTTTTGACGTGTGTATACGTAGCATAGCCGCTGATAGCTTCTTGACCTCATTTGTTGTCTGCAAAGTGAAGGTAATCGTGCATCGTTAGCGCACCTTCTCCCAGACACTTAATTAGCACGGCGCACCAGGCCCGCTTGCTAATCCAATCAGCGGCATGTGGTATCAAATCTGCAGTGCATTTCAGTCTGTCATTGAGACAAAATGCAGGTCGGCAACACTTTGACTCATGTAAACCTGTTTTTGCAGACCAGCTGGTTGTGATTAAACAGGACCATGTCTGGGCTTGCGTGTAATACTGCCATCCACATGATTAAATGGAGAGTTTTCAAACAAACTGGAGAAGAAATAAGGTTGATCATTCCTCTGGGACGAGAGATGAAATCTAAAGAACAAAAATGTCCAAAAGTATCAAACCACAGTGAACAAACAACACTATGTAAATTAGTGTTCACATATTTGACACATACACAGGTGGAAAGTAGTGAAAAGTGATTTGATCTAACTTAACTTAATGCATTTTATCAACTAGATGTATTGAAAAGCTAATATGGTTTTAGGTCAGGTGTTTTACCTTATGGCCTTGTGGCTGTTTGAACCCAGAGCCGATCAGTAACAGAGCCTCACATTGTGTCCAGCATTTAACCCCGTCTCATCCATCTCTTGGTTAGCAAAAAGCTATAGCTGCCACTGGGCCACGTTTGTACCGTCACCAAGGAGGAACCCACCCACGATGTGTGTTTATGTGTGTTTTCCGTTTGTTTTTGTAACTCATGTTTTAAGACTTTTCTCTCAGTTGTGTCTGCAGTTTCATTTTTTATCCGTTTATAGAGTTTGGGAGCTCCTGTGTGCTTTGTTTGGTTTTGTTAAAAGTTCTCAATGATTTTCATACTTTTTCTACCTCTGAGGTTTTACCACTGTATAAAAAGCTAAAATGGCGCATTAAGCTTCTGTTTTTGTTTTGTTTGGGGTTTTTTGTTGTTGTTTTTTAGTTTTCATGTGTGTGTTAACGTGAAAATAATGTAGATGTGACTGCCCAGCAAGCGTTTTGGGGGTTTTTATAGATTTTTTTTTTAAAAATAGCCTATTTATATTCTTAAAAAAACCACATTAACTACATAGAGTGTAAACAAGCGTAGAGGAATCTCTCCTTTCTAGGGAACTGATTTCCTTGTGAATCAAATATTTAAAAAAATTAAATTGTACGTGCTTTTGAATGTGTCTACGAGCTCCTGGGAAGTACAGGAAGAACAATCCAGAGCATTTTCCCCACCAACAAAGGCGATGAGTCATTTACATTTCAGAGATTTATTCCATGTTATGAAAAGTGACGTGATTGAATCAAAACATGTCACTGTGCACATTGTCACTACTTATCACCACCATAGTCGATGCTGTGAGCTGTTAGAAGAGGGCAGCCTTGTTGTGTAAGCTCAATAAGCATGGTTGGCAGCACTTTAAATTTTTTTAATTTGTTCTTTAAGATTGATTAAAATATTATTTTAATTCTATTGACAATCTCTACATTTATTGATCTGGATCAACATGTTGAAGAATTTTAATCAGCATTTAATGTTTGGGTAAAGGAGTAGCTGGCTGTTATTATCAAATATGGATCTGTGAACATTGATCTGTGATATCTCTCTCGCATCTGTTCGGTAAATATGAAGCTGCAGGCGGTTAGCTTATCTTAGAACGGAGACTGGGAAATATTCTGGCTCGAGCAAATAACCGACTTTAAAACAAGAAATTCACTTTTTGTTCAGACTAAACATCTGCTTGGTCCAACAGAGGATTCACATACACCCTAACAATCCTCAGGTTAGGTAGCTGAAGGAAATGCATATTTAAACTGAGCGACTGGCAGCACTAGAAGCGAAACAAGCTAGTAGTTGTAAAAATACTAGCTTGTAGTTTTTGGTTGGTTTTAACAAAAAAAAACCGGGGGGGTTTCAACCAGTCTAACACTTGGTAAGAATCAGAAACATTGTGCATAAGTTTAGACGGCAGTTGGCTGTGAAATTAGAGGTGTGTTGCCAACAATGTCACATTGAATCAACCATTATCTTTTTTATTTTTATATTTTTTTCTGTAGCTTTTGTGTCACGTTTGAGCCGTTTTCTTTTCCCGACTTAAAGTTACATTTCCTCTTGTGTTGAAACAACTGTTGCCTTTAAACGTCATTAGTTTAAAAAAATCAGTCTTTTTGTCTTGTAGTATACGTGTATACTGATCATTTCTGTGTACGGGTTATCTGCATTTTACATATTAATACATATTTCTGTTATCCGGTGGTTAAATGCACTGTCGTTATTGGGTCGTACGTCACAGCACAGGGCAACAGTGCTAACAGACACTCCATTTATCCTTTTAGCATGAGCTCTCAATAAATCACTCACAAATGTGCTGCTGCCTGAATTTACTTGTTGGTAGGTTGTTGTTGTTTTTAACTCATGTGCATTAACAGCAAAGTGCGCTTACTTACCATTTTCTCTTTTTTTTGCCTTTAAATGAATTTCCAATGAATAAAACGCATCCTCAAACACTCCTGGCTACAATGTTCCCTACATGATTGGGATACTTGTGCTCTCGAGCTCTTTTTTGGCTGAGATGACTGGTAAGCAAAAGGCTTTGGTTTCAGAGAAAATATTATAGAGGATGGAGTCTTACAAGAAGAAATCCCATCATAGAGGGTGTACTGTTTTCCTTCTTCCCTGAGCAGGAAATGGACCTAATTATAATGCTGAAAACAGCCCATTAAAACTGTAGATAACTGGAGTGTTTTGAAAAAAATCAAATTGACCCGTGTGTGTAGTGTCCTTGTTTTCAAGAAACCTGTCATGACGTTGTTGTGCTTGTGTCTATTTTCCAATCACCTCTTCCTTCCTCCCCCTGGTGCCAATGGCAGCTATAGATGGACAGTTTTAGAGCATTTTGCTGGTCACTAACACCCATATGCTACCACGACCACCTGGAGAAACAGACGCATTCCTTTGCCTTTCATAGGTCACCAGAAAGCTGTTGTTGTAGTGCTACCTATTTAAACTACTCACACAAAGAAGTGACACAAAAGTAGCGTGACATTGCTGTGTAGCTCAGTTGTGCTTTTGTACCTGCTTCTCCTCTTCGCCTTCCTCTTCAATAAAGACAAATGGTCAAACTGAGATTTCGCCTCATGTGTCGACTGTGTCCCCGAACAGCCTCCTTAAAGGTTTAAGGAGTGTTTAGGTCAGTTTGCTAATAAGGAACTTATAGACAAAAGAATATTTCTGTGTGTCGTGCCTGTTTAAATAACTAAATATGCAATGCCACTGATAGCTTAAAGGGCATTTCAGCAGCAGCAAGTCTCTACTGTGTGTCTAATCTGACTAAATAAATCCTGCAGTACTGCGGTCGTGTCGGCTTTGAAGAAGATGATCGAGTTTTATCCATGCTGGAGAAATCAAGATATCCCACATCCACAAGAAAAAATAACAAAACTGCACAAAATACAATTAATTAAAAAAGAAAATTGCAAAAATCCTTCAAACATCAGATCATAAAACTTAAAGAGCTACAGAGAGAACCTGTGGTTTGAGTTTATTCTGTTTGAATAGTGCTGCTGAAACCAGTTTCATTGGAGAGCATCTGAAATTAAAATGTCAATATATTGTTAATTGTTGTTACACTTAAATGAGAGATGTGTGGTTTGGAGGCTTCACAAATGAAAACCACACGAGGGCTGTTAATGGTTTAAGGGAATCCATCCAACCTTTTCCTTCAGAGATCAAAGAAGCATGATGACATACGGGGTTTAAGTGATGGAGTGTTGTTTGGGCAGCGTGAACGTACTGGATCTCTTCATAGGCCAGGACAGTTACGGAGACTGACTGCACAATAATATTACAGCTGCAAAATGAAAGACAACATTTCTGCAGCCTGCGGTGCAGTTTTTGAGCCTCATGTTGAACATGAATCTTAAATCTTAAAAAATATATTTATAAGATCCATTTATTTTATTTGCACAGGATGTAGAGGTTTTCAAAAAGATTATTAATATTGTCCTTTCTGCATTTATGCTGATTTTGAGCTGCCAAAGAGAGGTTGAGGAGATTAAGATAAATCAGGCCTGCAGGCATCTTTCTAGCTTATGTTATTGTATCATCAGTTAAAAACAAGGTTGGACATAAAATGTTGGTTTGGAATAACAATGTCATTATTATTAGATTAAATAAATAACACTGGATCAAGAACAGATGTCTGCAGTGCCTCAAAATGTTTAACGAGCAGAACTGACTAAGAGTTGTAACACTTGCTAATTCCACACACGAGGGAGATGATAGGAGACCTTTGACCTTTGATCTGATCTTCTTCCTGCTCACGCTTTCATGTTAGTTAGATGCAAAAATGTAACATGTGTTTTATTAATTGTAACATCTTTACAGAGGGCCGATGCAGGGAAAGAATGTGCCTGTCAGTGTTTTAAATAAAACATCTGTTACCAGATGTTTATTTCGGTTGCAAATTCTAAATATTTATTAATTAATGAATTAATTTACTTATTAGATAAGCAAATGTAGCCTAAAGCAGAGCTGAATATTAGTGTGGTTCCCTGTAAATACATTTAAAAATGCCCTCGTATACTCAGGGTTTCTATTCCACTTTTACTTTAGTGAGTTTAAATAACAATCAGTAATAACAATTAACACCAAACATCTTTTTTGCTTATTTCTAATTATTAAAACATAAATTAAGAATTAGTGGACCAGTAGGGGTCATGAACATGAGAGAGTGATATTCTGCAGGTCATGCATGACAGAGAAAGAAAGCACACTGAGCTAATGAAACCATCTTTAATCCATCCGGCACAAACTGAGCGAACCCTTTGAAAAGATGCGAGACTTACATGTGCATTAAGTTTAAATGTGGCGAGATGTCATCAGTTACAACATACAGCAGTTCATCAGAGATCGACGGGAGTGGAGTTAGCGATTTTTAAAAGCATTTATTTCAGTTCATTGTGACAGCTGTTTGTCGGTCAAAGTGCATCGTACTCAGTGTCCCGTTGGTCAACAACGGATGACTGGATAAGACGTTATAACTGAAAGTTTGGGTTATGAGTGATTCTCTTTTCTTTTTTTGTCCTCAGTAAGAGTCAGATTTAAATTCTTCTTCCATGTCTGTGAAACAGAAAGAAAACAGCAAAAACAAATATTAGAATGAACATTTTGATTATCATCAAGCTTGAAAATCACTTTTTAAATGGCAGACTCAAACATGATGACACTTTTCTATCTGAAGAGTTATGCAAAGCAAACATTTTATACAAATAGAAGTGGATGTAGCCGGACACTTACCTCCTAAACTCCTTCTGCCCATGAGTCCAACAAACATCTCCCCTTTATTTCCTGTAAAAACAAAACAACACACAGAGAAAGAGGAACACAAAGATTTTTAGGCTCGCTACCAAAATAAAACAATAAAGAAAAGTTGAACTCTGATCTCTCTTACTCACGTTTCCTGCCCAGTCTCACAGCGTGGGACACACCTGAAACAAGCAAGAGATAAAGAGTCTCAGGTACAGGAAGCAAAAAGGATTGTGGAGCACATCATCAACTC